ATTAAAAAAATTAAAAAGTTATATTTTGAAAATTTACAATGTGACAAATTTAAGTATTTTTTTAAAATAATTTATTAGTATATTAATAAATAAAATATAGTCAAAGTAACACACGTGAATAGTGTAAACTTCAATGTGTTGCATTTATTTAACAACTGAGGAATACATATGTGAGTATATCAAATCTTCGGCACATAATATATTATAACTAAACTTTATTATAAAGGTCAAATTAGACAAATTTTTAGGCTAATTTTAATAAATTTACACGTAATTTGTTTAGGCAAGCCAAGTTGGGATGCATCTTTGATTCCCTATCAAGCTTGAGCATACCCTACAAAATAAGATCGGAATTGCAAAATAAAACATTACACAACCAACCACAAGATGAGATTTAACAACAAATGATTAGATATTGAGACTTAGGAATACCAAGCCTAACATACCTTCACGAGATGAGATTAACAAAAATGGTCTAAGATGAATGTCCCCTTATCTTTTTTCTTTTTTTAACAAAATACTCTGTATATTCTAAATACAAAGTACATTTTTTTTATATTCAATTCAACGAATTCGAATCTCACTGTTTCAATCACAGTTTTCAAAATAAAAGCAAAAACCTGAGCTAACTGATTACAATAGAACAACTTGCTGGTTTTAAATTTTTTATTTTTTTTATAATAACAATTAGTATTCAATCGATTTCATCAATTTTATTATTATCTAACGAGGTCCTAATATTTTAGGAAAATTTTTCTAAATAGGACTAAATAAAAGAATAATTGTAACAATAGGAGTTTAAAGTTCAAATTCCCAAAACAGGACTAACTCTTCCTATTATACCCTTTGTCCTTATAAGATTTTTTAAATAATCATTGTAAAACATAAAAAATTTAATGGAAAAGTACATAAAAGGTCATTGTGGTTGAGCTCGTTTTCAGATAAGGTCATGTGTTTCATTCTTTACCAAAGTGTTTCATGTGTTTGAATTCCGTTATCACAAGAGGATCACGCCGTTAAAAATGTCTGAAAAAGACCGTTAAAAGTAACTCCGATTTTCAAATGTGCCCGAAAAATTAAAAGAAAAATACCGAAAGGTGCGCCTCGTCAAGATGACCTCCAAACCACCTTCGCCTTTGGATTTTTCAGATCTGTTTGAATTATTTTTTAAAACTGATTTCGCTAATATCACTTTTCCGATGGACTTTCCGGTGACAAGGGTGGCTGAAAACAAAAAAGAAAGATGGCCGAGCGGTCGTCTTATTGAGGCGCACCTTCCGGTATTTTTCTTTTAATTTTTCGGGCACTTTTGAAAATCGAAGTTACTTTTAACGGTCTTTTTCAGACGTTTTTAACGGCGTGACCCTTTTGTGATAACAGAATTAAAACACATGAACCACTTTGATAAAGAATGAAACAATGACCCTATCTGAAAACGAGCTCAACCACAAGTACCTTTTCTGTACTTTTCCCAAAATATAAAATAAAAAATAAAAAATCATAAAAAATAAATAAAAAATATACAGACCTCAACCACCATATCAGTCACCTTCCAACACCGCCACCTCCGGTCGCCAGAAATGATTGCCAAGTTGGGGGAAAAATGTCATCGTGATGACAATTTTGATTAGAAAGCTGGATATTTTCAAATAGTAAAAATGTCACCTTCATGACTTTTTTAGAGAAATGTAGCATTTTTTACACAAGATGACGTTTTTATTAATTTATAATTTTTTTACGATTTTTTATGTTTTTATTATTAATCAAACTATGATTTTTGTTATAATAAACAAATAAATCTATTAAAATTGTAGGTTGGGGGTAGAATAGAAAAAAAAGACATATATTACTCCTACTTTGGGAATAAAAGTATAATCTTGATGTGGAATTTTGGGTTACATATAGTTTAATTATTTATTTAAACTTTAAACCAGAAGTCGAGGCAAAAATACGATTAAGGCGGGAGATTACAGTTCTAAATACTGTTAAAACTTAAAATGGGAGAAGAGGATGCAATTGCTGAACGAAAAGTTCTTGTTATCGTCATCTCATAACCCAATAAAACCTCTGGCCTCAGGACAGAGTGTCATGAAGATACAGAAGATGGTAGTTACTAGTTAGGCTCATCTTATCTGTGTAATTCTCAATTTTTGCTTTTCGTGATTATTTTCCGAGTAGCAAGTAACAACAATGGCGGATCCTTTCGGAGTAAACCCTCACCACTTACTTGAATCAGAGGACATGTCTTCCTTTGTACACAATAATATTCTCAGAGGCTCATTCGGTTCTGCTATTGGAAAAGTCGGTCTTTTTGGTCGACGGGAGACGGGAGCTCACGCCATGGAGTCTGGGATGAGGGAGGGATCTTCTGTCCCAGTCGTCGTGTCCTCGTCGAGCCTCAATTTATCTAATCCTTGCAGGTTTTACGGAAACGAAGTCAAGGAAGATGACGTTAATGCATTTTCTTCAGCTGGAATTAGGGATTGTGAAGCGATCACTTCTTCTAAGGGGGTTGAGTTTCCATATGACGACAAGGTCGACGGTTTCAATTTTTCCCTCGAGGTAATTATGGTTACTTATATTACCGAAACATTTTACTCGAAATTATAGTACGTTTATTAGTAAGCATCAGTAATTTATCAGGACTGCGAAACTTCAGATCCACAAAGTAATCAGGCGCAACGACGTTCCTCAAAGAGGTGTAGATCGGCGGAGGTTCATAATTTGTCAGAAAAGGTTCGATTTCACCCAAATTTCTTAAATTTTTCTTTGGATAATAACAAAGATGATGTTAATTTAGATTTATGTGGCTAATTTTGTGGGCAGAGGAGGAGGGGTCGAATCAATGAGAAATTAAAAGCACTGCAGACCTTGATACCGAATTCTAATAAAGTATGGACGTTCAAGAACTCATCATTTTCAGATTTCTATGGACCTCATTCCCCATGCTTTTACTGTTCAGCTGGTTCTCTTAGTCATTTTATCACGTTCTTTTGGTGATGTGACAGACTGATAAGGCATCTATGCTTGATGAAGCCATTGAATATTTGAAGCAGCTTCAATTGAAAGTTCAGGTATTTGATCCTGCTTTCCATTCTTACTGCTAACTTAGGATCAATGAAGTTCGGCCTACAGTATACTCATGGAAATAATAAAAAACATTTTTATTGTGAAAATAATGACAAGTATTTTTCAGAGTATCCTATGCAGATCATTGGATTATTATTAAGACTTGAGGTTTCTTAACCATAGTCGGATGCCGTATACGCTGGTTTATAGTTTTATGTTATTGGGACGTTTGATGAAGAATGAACAATATGCAGTTAATGGTGTTTGCAGATGTTGACAATGAGGAATGGATTGAGTTTGTACCATCCACCAGGTTATTTCCAAGGATCTTTACAATCAAATCAATTTCCTCCATCTGGGAACAGATTTGATGAGAGTGTAACTCTAAACACAAGAGGAGGTGGAGGAGCAACTAATTTCTCAGGCATACATGAAATTTCATTCCAGAGGGGGTTTGAGATTTCCCATCAGAATATGGGGAACAATGCAAGTTCAGAGAGTCCACTGGTCTTTGATGAGACACCAATGCAGAATCACTATGGGTTGCTTAACCATTTGACTTCTGGAAAGGTAAACCTTGGGTCAAATGCTTTAAATGAAATGGCATTTAGAAAGTATACAACTTCGCATGAATTTGTCTAAAAATGGATGCAGGATTTATGCAGAAATGATGCACTGTCACGATTGCATTTAGACATGAGTTGCTCTGGGAATAACTCATCACCAGGTGTCTCTTCTTCTTAGTTAGTCAATAGCAAATTAGTTACATTGCATTTCATAACTTCTTTTAAATCTCAAAAAAATCAACATAATAGAGCTCTCTAACTAGGTGAGATCAATGGACGATCCTATCTGATGTACCAAATTAACTTTAATACGTTGTTTGTTTTCAAGGTGTTTCTGTTCCATATTCCCCAAGAGAAACAGATTCTGATATTTTCTAGATTCTGTCCCAAATGGTGGTAAAATTAGAATATTGGTTGCAAACTAATACTATGTATTCAAGAGTATGTATTTCGGTTTGTGCTCGTTAGTTATTTTCATTCTCGTTCAAGTACTTCTCATAGTGGTAAAGTTTGAATATTGGTTGCAAACTAATACTATGTATTCTAAATGCCTGAATGAAGAGCCGAGTGTCCAATAATATTCTAGTTGCAATGTACAACCGAAGGCGCATGCATCCATCACTTTAAATTCTCTAAATATCTGTGAAGCGTTTTGTAAACGTACTCTAAAGCGTTCATGTTGTTTATTCTAGATTATTATTTTCTGAGACATGAAAATTGAAAATGCGACTAAATTACAAAAGCTAAATGACAAGCTTATTCCTTCACCACTATTATTGTATTCAAAGGTACACGTAGGGATAATTTTTAATTAATCAAGCCAGAAGTTCCATGTGCAAATGATGGTCGTATAGTCTCTAAAGGCATGACCGCTGAGGATATCAGTCAATGCAATCAATCCAAGGGTTATGTTTCCAATTGCAGGACTTCCTAACCTCATTTAAAGCCACCCAAGAAATGCTATTGCACTTGAAACCCGAGCCTAGTTGCAGCTGCAAAACACGGTTCCCAGGCTTCACCCTATCTTTAGCCTCCAGGTACGCCAACTCATACCAGATACTACTGCTCGAGGTGTTGCCGAACCGGTGTAACGTTGCCCGGGAGGCCTCCATGTTCTCCTCTGTAAGGTTCAGGTTCCGCTTAAGCTCATCTAACAATGTTTTACTTGCTGCGTTAATGCACAAGTGCGTAAATGCAAGGGTGTAGTTTGGTATATATGGCTTGGTTTTGGCTCCAGTTAGTTTTCTTTGGATTAGGTTCTTAAAGAAGTAGAATTGCTCCGTGAATGGGAGCACCATGGGCCCTAAAGTGGTTAAGTTTTCCTTGAGAGCCTCTCCCCCAATTTGTACCAAAGATTTGTCGATTTTCAAGCCCTTTTTGTTTTGCTCATCTTCATCCTGGTAAATGGACCTACAATATCATGACATGCATTTTGATCATCATTTCTAATTACTATACCATGAAAAGGCTATTAAAATCGCCATGAATGTATAGCATCTTTTGTTACTCATTTTGCAAATGCGTTAAACTTCTTTTTATAAGTTCCATTTATAACATACTCTAGTGATGATCGATGAACTTAACTAGCTCAAGGTTCAGACCATGCACTGACCAACATAGTGATTGTGCTGCTGGATTTTTGTTTATGTTGATTACCTCATAATCGCTCAACTCACAAGTCACGAAAACTTGAATGAGTAAACATGAGTTATGCATCCCGAAAAGGTTAATTCCAATTAATTAGTTAGTCTAATCCAAAATGTTACCAGCCAATATGCTTCTAAGAAGAGAGACAAACCTAAAGGCTTGATCATTTGAGCCATGGTGAGTGCGAATGATGTGTTCAAGTCGGTACTTTGATCGGTGGTAGTCGCGTCTGCGATTGGAGAGTAGGATGGTTGAACAACCCATTCGAAAGAAGCAATTGGGAATGAGCATGGACGGGTTGTTTCCCGAGTACCACATGGAGCTCACTATTTCAGTGCTAACAACCAAGGCATACCTATTGGGATTGGCTCGTAGGATGTCTTGCGCCAAGTCCAATGCGATGATCCCAGCACTGCAACCCATCCCACCAAGGTTTGAACTTAGAATGTCCACTCTCATCTTATATCTATTTATGACCATGGCCGAGAGTGAAGGAGTCGGGTTAAACGTGCTACAGTTCACAACCAAAACTCCAATGTCTTTCGGTTTGATCCCTGTCTTCTCGAACAACGCATCTATTGCGTCAAATACCACCATTGATGCCTCGGCTCGGGTGACATTCAAACTCATCCTATCCCTTTCTGGGAATCCGATGGACTTAGGGACATATGTTTCATCCCCGATCCCAGAGCTCTCAAGTAATCTCTTCATGTATTCTAGGCTTTCTTCCTTAAATGTTCCTGATTTTCGAGCAATATCTATGAATTGATCCTTTGTCACCTACCATACATAAGATCAATGCATTAGCAACTATTCCGATCCGTAGCATTTATTTATCATGTTATGTATAAACAGTTCTGAGTACGTAATCCGCGTTGAAACCGTGGACTTGATTCTTGTACTCACAAAACCGCTATGCTTAAAAGCCACAAAACATGTACTACGTAAGTTTTAATTTTTTTTTTGATCGCATATGTAAGTTTAAATTAAATTCATTAAATATTATTAGAAGATGATTAACTATTATAGTTGGTCAATTCAGAAACAAAAGGTATGAGCAGCCAATTTAGCAAATTAAATATAGCCAAAATGTGCCCTCCCAGCAGTCTTGTGAAAAATGTTTTGAAGGGACACTACACATGCACGGTACACCTACAAGTTATGATGTGTTGCATTAGCTTGCAACATTACACTTTCTACTGTAGCTTGGGTCTCCTTGGGGGTGATTGTGAATGTATGTGACTAGTTTTTATTGATTTTATGATCGTTCAAAAAACTGCATTATACATGTTTTGCAGTAGGCACTTGCAGTTGCGGGAAGGATAATTTGAAACAATAAGGTATCGGTACTAGGAGTGGCGTTCCTGTCAGGTTGGCCTGACAGGACACGCCGTCAGGCCGAGCCCTTTTGAGGGTATTCCCGGTGAATTTTTTTTTTTGAGCATGTTCTTCATCACGTCTGGTTTACTCATACCAAATTTCAGCTAAAAACTCAATCAGTAAGGCAATCAAATAAATTATTTAAGAACACTGTGCAGTTAATATATATAAACAGCGCAGTATTTTTCAAAAAATCATTTCACAGCCTTCCCGGTTGATTTTTAGCTGAAATTTGGTATGGGTAAACGAGACTTGATGAAGAAGATTCTCTAAAAGTTTCATCGAAAAATTACACCGGGAAGACCCTCAAACGGGCTCGGCTGGACGGATGCTCCGGTCAGGCCGGCCTGACATGAGGCACTTTGTACTGTAGCCGTTTTGAAACGAGATGGTTGTACCATATCATACCGTGTCGAAACTATTCCAAATTTGTGAACATTTAAAGAAATTTTGAGATGATATTTGAGTAAATAACTTAAATTATAATCAAAACAAAAATACAAAAAGCAAAATTTAAGTCTGACTTTCGTATTGAATTTAAAATGAAAAAGGCTGAGTTCTTAAAACTATACATTCAAAAATACACAAATAAATAAACTAAATTAAATATTACTCCGTATGTATGTTATTTGACTTATTTTATGTAGTAACTAAGTATAGGTCCATTAAGTACCTTAAGATCGTCATTTGGTTTGCAGCATGCAAAGTCAACAAGGTAAATTGGTGTTGACTTGGACATGTAGAAAACAAAGACAGTCAAAGAGAGAACACCGAGAAGAGGAATCACAACAACAAAATCAGAGTGTCCAAGATTTCCCGATATCTCCATGCCGAAAACCACCGCGAGAAGCGGCAGAGCGGCGGCGGCCAACAACATCCCATTGCTTATCATGTAGTAATATCCCAATTTCACATATTTCAAATTCACGGATTGCACGAAATCGGGTAGCCGACGACGAACACGGACCGAGAACTTCCGGGCTCCGGCGTCGGGCCCCGACAAGTCAACCCCGCGGTTGACTATCTCGGTTGACAATAACGTCTCGTCTATTGCCATGTTTTGAACGTTTATTTTGAAAGGTTTAGTGTTGGAGATGTAAAAGAAGAAAGATGGAGATGTAGCTGTATTTGTATTGAAAAAAGGGTAAGTGCGGTTATGAGGCACTTTATGTGTGTATAGTAAGATAAGATAATCATATGTTTATAGTAATTGTAATTGTTAGTTAAGATCACGATCATACAATTTTTGCTTTAAACTGTAATACGGAGTATATATATATATATAATAGTAATACTAATAATACTTATGTGTTACTAGCTAGATTAAGTGTCACTAAATTGCACTGATATGTTAGTCGGGTATTATTAGAGATGATGGGGTGGAAGCATGATTTTAACACAATTGAGATTGTGGTTACGGCTATTGTGGCCGATGAAGTGTGAGCGATCACATAAGCGTTCTATTTTTTATCTCACAATTTTTATGTGGGATTCTCAAATTTTCTATTTTATTTGAGAAATTACTGTAAAATAAGACTAAATGTATTTGTATATTCCAAAATAGTACTATCGTGTTTTCATTCCTAAAATAGGATTAATTATTGCCATGTTTTGACAGTACCAGACTTTAAATACGGCAATATTTTCTAAACTTGACAGTAATTACTCATATTTTGAGAATAAAAACATAGCAAGCTTATTTTGAAAAAGTTTTTGTTATTTTTTACTAATAGAGAACAATATACGGAGTATATTACTGGTCAAAGTTGTTTATCAACAAATGTGAAAAGTGGATTGTTGCAATAATTTAAAAACATCTTAGTGTATATTTAATAAAACTTATTTTCATGTGTAAGACAAAAGTAAATATTATGAGAATAAGATTTTTTGTCAAAATCAATTTATATAAAACACTCAATTCCATAAGTATTGAACTAATTTTCACTTCCAAACCAAATGAGTTGAACTAATTAATTTTTCATACAAATATTCAAAATGCCAACGCATTCCCACGGTGTGAGTTAAAGACATTTGGGAAAAGAGATTTGAAAATATTAAACATATGCTCTCCATTGTAAAATTGTAGAACTAAAAAAAAGGTTCTTAATGGAAATTGAACACAAGACGTTAAGCTTTTCCACCAACATGCACGTGGTCTACTACCATCTCACCATTTTAGTTTTTGTTACCATTCTGACTTTTAATATTATTATACCATTTCTACATAACACTAAATATATATATATATATATATATGTATATATGTATGTATATATGTATGTATATATACATATGTATATATATATATATATACATATATATATATATATATACATATATATATATATATATATATATATATATATATACACACACACATATATATATACACACACACACAGATATATATATATATATATATATATATATATATATATATATATATATATACATATATATATATATACACACACACACATATATATACATATATATATATATACATATATATATATATATATACACATATATATATATATACACATATATACATAGGGGAAAGATCAAGTACAAATTGTGCTTATTGTACAAATGTTTGTACGATGCACCTTGACGTTATTTGCATTGCATATTGAGGTTCAAAGTGTTGCATATTATATAGTCATAAAATAGCAGTTGCACATTTACGTTCAATGAGTTGCACCCTATAAAAGTTAGGTTTTATTACAAAAATGCCACCTTGCATTTATATCCTTTAGATCAACTCATCAGATGGCCAAGATAAGTTTGTACTTTGTAAATTAAGCATGATTTGTGTTTGATCTCTATTCTATATAAATATATATATATATATATATAGAGAGAGAGAGAGAGAGAGTCATTCTCCTGTCCAGCACTATTCTGTCCGAAGGCCGTCCGAACACCGTCGTTTGAGTCTAGTTTATCCATACCAAATTTCAGCTCAAAATTCGATCAGGAAGGCAGTCAAATAATTCGTTGAAGTTAACTACGCCAAATTATACATAGAAAAACGCAGTTAACTTCAACGAATTATTTGACTGCCTTCCCGATTGAATTTTGAGCTGAAATTTGGTATGGATAAACTAGACTTGATGAAGAACATGCTCAAAAACTTTCATCAAAAACTTCCACCGGGAACCGTCCCAAACAGCGGTGTTCGGACGGCGTTCGGACTGAGAGGTGCTGGACCTGAGAATTTCTATATATATATATACTATCTTTTTTTGAGCATGGGCCTAGGCCTTCCCTGGATCATAGCCAGATCCTCCCCTGACTTCATCCTTATTACTTCATCCTTATTAAATTAAAATATTCATTCTATCTTATTACGGAGTACTAGCACACCACCCGTGCATACGCACGGGAAAAACAGTTAGTCCTTATATATTTTTGTTCATGATCTAATTAAATACATAGTATAAAAATGTTTTTTTACAATTCTATAGCATTTCAAAAATTGAGTTTTATAAGTTAATATTAAAAGTATAAATCCATACAACAAATATTCAAAGTAAAAGAAAATTAAAGTAGAAAAATAATTCTTGTTCAAGATAGCAAGTCCTATTTTAGGGATTTATATGGTCCTATTTTGTTCAAGACCAAAAAAACAATTAGTCCTTATATATTTTTATTCCTGATATGAAACGTCTTCTTTAATAAGAGCATAGGGATTTATGCACTCATCTATTGAAAACTCTTGTTCAAGATTGTTATAGCTTTCATTAAGGTTGGAATAGCTGAAGAAGGTGGTCTCCACTCTTGGGTTCTTTCTCTTTTCTTCTTCTTCTTTAGCATTTTCTTTTTCACCGATATAATCCATTTTCTGACTGTATCCTAGTCTCATGTGGTCTAAGTCATAAAGCTGAATGCAATCAACTTTCTTTAGATAACATGGATTAGATATGCCAAGGCTGGATCTGGGATTATAATACCGGTCATCACTAATTTGATTTAAGAAGATAGTTTGTTCTAATTGACCCCTCCTAGCAATAAGATCCTCCAGTTCTTTGATCTTTTCAAAAAGTTCACTTCTTTTGTTTTGAAGAAAAACGTTATCAGCCTTTGTTGTGCTTTTCTCTCTTTCACTGTCTTGCAATCTCTTAGTAGTATCAACTATCTTAAGTTCTAGACTTTCTAACTCTACAATTACCTTTTTGACCTGTTCTTTTGCATTATCTAATTGGATGTTGAGAGAGGCGTTTTGGTCCAGATTCTTCTTTAAGACCCTGAGATTATTGTCTAATCTCTCCCTAAGTTCTTTAATGATGTTGTCCTTATCAAGTAAGGACTTAGTTTGATTTTGGCAAGAGCAAAGAAGATCGGATTTACTTACATCGCTTGTTGAGCATTCACTTCTGGGGATCGCAGCATCACCCTTTCTTTCTTCTTCATCTTCCACGCGAGCCATCAGTGCAAAGTTTTCCTCCTCCTCCTCTTCCTTAGAAGTATCATCTGCCCAATGATCTTTTTTGCAAGCATTGCATCATTCTCTTCTTCTTTCTGCACCATAAGCATTTTTTGCTTATTCAACAACATTTTATGCTTGTAGAAGTTTGCATCCCTCTTCTTTGGCGGGCGACAGTCTTTGATGACATGTCCAGCCTTGCCACAGTTGTAGCATTTGGGAGCATCTTCAGGTGCAGGTGCCTTCCCAGAGGAGCTTTGATCATTGTACTTCTGCTTGTAGTTTGAGGAGGAGGTTCTTAGCCTGTTTGCGGAGCTGTTCTTCTTCACAAATTTCCTTGTCAGCAAGGCCATTTTCTTTTGAAGATCAGCAAGTTCAGCCTCAAGGTTAAGCTCGTCTTCATCACTTTCATCATCTTCAGATTCGAACACCACTTTCTTCTTCTTCCTCAGAGATTTGGTTGTTCTTCTAGGTTGTGCTTCCATCACCAGAGCGAATGGATTGGCACCAAACTGATCTTCAGGGCAATCTACGTCATTCACAAACTGCTTCAAGTGTTCATGAAGGGTGCAAAGGTCAATCTCATCGAGGTTGAGATGTTGCCTTATGTCCTTCACAGTCTTTCTCCATTCGGGGTGTAAGCTGGACAGAAATCTTATATTCGGTTCCACATATTGGACTTGAATACTTTGATTTAATTTTCCTCAGCTCATTTTTTAGCTTAACAAATCTGTTATAGGTCTCGTTCAGTGGTTCCCTGGAGCCAGCTTTGAAAGAATCATAAGCAATAAGAGTGCTTGCTTTCTTGGTTTTTAAGCTAATGCGTGTGCCCTGGAAAAGTTTCTCGATTTCATCCCACATTTCTTTTGCAGTTTGCATGCTATCAATTAACACATAGATTTCTTTTGGGATAGCTTGGAGCAGGTATGTTTTGCCATGAGATCAGCTTTTAGCCTTAGCTTATCTGCTTCGGTATGTTCTGATGGAACTTTCAGTCTCCTTTCATGAATGATAGGAGGGTTATTCTCATCATCTCCACCTACTGAAATCCACAACTCAGCAGGTCCTTGAAGGAGTGATTCGAGCATTGCAGCGGAGTTGGCTTTGTGTTCAAGGAAGTTTAAGAATCGATTCATCCACATCTGATATTCACTTCTCCTGAGAACATGAGGGGTACTGATGTTTCCTTGTGCAATAGCATCTGAAGACATTGCTCTAAAGGGGTTGACCGTTCGGGAGAAAAAAAATTCTAAGTGAAAAACTCGAAATCCTAGATTTCGATAGATTAGGTTTGAGATTTAGAAAGTCAAGATCAGTCTATCGAGAAGTGAAATGTCGAAATTGATTTCGAAAAATTGATTCGAAAAAAAAGAAGTCGAGATCCTGTTTTTCGAGATCTCAATGTCGAGATCTTGATTCGGAAGCAGGATATCGAAAACCTGTTTTTTGAGATAAAGATTTCGAGAAGTCAAATTTCGAGATTTTGATCTCGAGATGCTGATATCGAAATTGTAACTCGAAAACCTAATATCGAAGTCCTGAATCTCGAAATCCTGCAAGTAGAAATTTTTGAATTTTTGAAAAATGAAAACTGTTCTGTAGAGTCCTTGATCTCGCGATTCACCCTGTAAAATTTCAAGCCGAAATTGTTTGATCAGACCTGTCGAAAAGATGATTTCGATAAGCCTATCTCGAAAACTTTCGAAGCTAAAAGTTGCAAAAAACAAAAAATA